CCGTAGTTTGCCCACGGCTGGTTTAAGTCCTCGGGGATTTACCCCTAATGCTGGCACAGGGAGGTGGACAGCACACTGCGGGCGTTGCTTAACAATTTGGCAGGGGGCCGCCCACAAATTACACAAAACACACTAAGCGCCAACTAGGTAAACACAAAGGAAGGCAGCACAGTGGGATGGGTGCCACCTGCCACAGGTGGTATGCAAGTTGCCAGACACACATGGAAGTCAGAGGCCCTGGGCCCTCCTGCTCCTTCCATTGGGAATAAACCAGAACGCTGTCTGATTTCCGTCCGCCTAGGTTTGCTGTGAACTTGCAGACGGGCTTCAGTGACAATGACATTGCCTTCCACTTCAACCCTCGGTTTGAAGAGGGCGGGTATGTGGTCTGTAACACCAAGCAGAAAGGACGCTGGGGGCCGGAGGAGAGGAAGATGAATATGCCCCTCCAGATGGGAATTCCTTTTGAGATCCGCTTTCTGGTGCAGAGCTCTGGATTCCAGGTGAGCAGGATTCTCCTCCATCCCTCCCGCTGTCTGACACCTGCCCTATCAGGCCTGGAGAAAAGCTTTTATTTATTTTCATTGTTTTGGTTAATCCTCACTTGAGGATATTTTTCCATTGGTTTTTTAGAGAGACTGGAGGGAGGGGGAGAGACACAGAGAGAGAAACATCCATGTGAGAGAGACACATCAATTGGTTGGCTCCCACATGCACCCAGAGCAGGGCCGGAGGTTGAGCCTGAAACCAAGGTACGTGCCCTTGACCGGAATTGAACCTGGGACCCTTCAGTCCGCAGGCTGACGCTCTACCCACTGAGCCAAACTGATGAGAGAGAGAAAAGCTTTTAAATAATTACCCAAGCAATGCCATTATTTACAGAAAACAGGACCTTACACACCTTCACCTGCACCTACAGAGCACCTGTTGCTTCTGTGACCAGGAAATAAGAGCTAGGTGAGTCCCCACCTGCTCTTTGGCCTCGGGTTCCAGGTGACTTCCATCCTCTGCTGCAGGCTTGCCCACTCCAGGTCCTTGAGAGCATTTGTTTTCGGTGATGCTGTGGCAGCCCTTCTGCAGGCCCAGGGGTGGCTCAGGGCTGCATGGTGTAGTCATTGCTCTGCAGGCAGAGCAGGGCTGCTGGGCCCGCGGAGAGGGATGGCTGTGTCTGTGCTTCTCTGTGTGAACGGGATGCTCCCAGGCCTCAGTGTGCACCCTGAGGTGCCCTCTCCTCTGCTCCCATGAGCACTTTATG